GCAGATGGCATTAAGTTAGTAAAGAAAGAAAAGAAAAAGCAAAAATAAATAAAATAAAATGATTAGTGAGAGAAAAGCAGTTTAAAAAAAAAGACATCCCACAAATTATTCAAATGCCGTTGACATGCCGATTTATACGGTTCAAGCCACTGTTTTACAAACCTGATTGTGCAGCGTCCTCGGATCACCGCTTCAACCATTCAAAAATCGTCTCATTTTTAGCCTTGGTGCATAAGCTCTTTTATAAACAAAACTTAGTTGCCACGGAGCTGCCAGCGAAAAACAACAATTTCATATCGTGTGCAACTTCAGTTCGGCTTTGGCAATTTATATAATTGAGCTTAACAACTATGCAAAAGGTGAGTCGAGTTTAAAAGCTAAGTTTACAGTATTCTTTCTAAGTTTTGACTTTTTACGCTGTCGATTTGACTCACGGCGAAAAACATTGTAAAAGTTATCGGCATTTCATGGTTCCGTTGAGCTGTCCGCTGACCATTAAAATACTGTATCGTGCCCTAAAAAACGTATTTCCGCGGTGTCTGGCAAAGGTGTATTGAGACATGTAAACGTCCGTCAAGCTGCTCGTCCGCCATGTTGCCAAAGGTCCAGTTACCAGTACTACTCTTCGTAAAAAGCTCGAGGAGTCCTCGTGCCAAGTTTTCACAAATTTTTCTTATCTCATTTCAGCTGAGTATTTCGTTTGCAATTTTTGTGCAAACCTTATTATCATTTCAGTCATACGTTCACATAACATTAGACATCTATCATGGATATACAAGAGCGGCTAAGGACATGATAATGTTTCTCCTGAATTTTTCGCACGAAATTGACTTAAAATTCAAGACCTAATTAGCAAACTAAATCTCGTGCAGGCGTGCAGGTTGACTTGCAAAACGCACGATTTTGCATAACAAGCAAGAAATCGCATTATTCCACCCGTTTATCGTGCCTCTCTCTGCAGCAACACGGTGCGGTTTGATGAATGCACCAAAAGTATGGAGTCTCGTTTACCTGACTTTCAGCAAAACAAATTCCTTTCAAGAGGGAAGGCAAAGCCCGCCACGAAAACGAAGTCGAGAAATGCTTTGGGCAAGAGAGCGCATCACAATGCATTGGAACAACAAAGAAGAGGCGTTATTCGAGGTTGCTTTGAAAGCCTCCGCAAATCAGTGCCAACGCTGGCATCAGACGACAAGAAATTATCACGGTCAGGAATTTTAAGAGAAGCAGCCAGGTATATAAAAACGACAAAGGAGAGGATTGCAGAATATACAGACGATCTCGAAGAGCTCCGTCTGCAAAACCAGATGCTCAGAGGAGAAATTGGTTATTTGGGCTGCCTGCAAGACATGACGCGTCCACGTGACGACCTCAATAGTCTCACAAAAACCGCAATGGAAGGTGACGGAACTGAAGGTATCTTAAAGGAGGGGTACCCTACAAACAGTATCATGCTCGATAGCTTGCCTCTACACAATAAAGATCCCAAACACAGTTTTTCTTCCGTTTATGACACTGACGTTTTTTTCATGGAGAAAGGTCTCGAGAGTATGGAATGTCTAAGGAGCGTCACTCAAGGAGGAAAGAGTTCCACAGACGAGGAATGTGATGTTCGCATTGACGTGGAGGGCTTTGAGCAGAAACCGTTCTCCTTCACGGCCATCTCTGATACTTAATATTTTTACTCATTTGATTCACGTTCAAAGTAACTCCTATTAAGGAATTAAGACACAGAAGGAGGAGGCCTAGAGTGAACATATTGACACATTTTGCAGCGACATTGAATGTGGCCTTTTTAATAATATACAAGCTATGGTAAGATAATGAAACCGTAATGCTGGTAATTAAAAACAGTTGATTATGACAATGAAAAACTGCGATAAAATATTATAAAGCATGACACGACGTTTCGACGTTTCCAGAACGTCATTATCAAGTAAACTAAAATAATAAAATCGAGCATATATATAATGAAGCGGTGAATAAATTACAAAACGTTAAAAGTTAAACAAAGAGTTTAGCCCTAATGGAATCGCTCTGGGTGTTTAAATTGGGCCTTATTGTTCTTATGTACAACATTTCATAAACAAGACAATCCCATTTCGTGCCGCATTTTTTAAGCATTCTAAACTGGCTCTCATTGAGTAAGTCAATGTTCCCATGGGCATCTCTCAGGTGGCGACCAATGGCAGAGTATCGATGATCAGCAATGCGTTGAAACAGATGGCGCGTCGTATATCCGACGTAATTTGAATCACACAAATCACATTTAAAACAGTAAACAACACTATGCTGATTTAAGATGCGTGGCTTGATTTCTTTAAGCTTTAGGTCCTGCTCAAGTTTCTTACTGGTGTAGACTGGTTGTACATCAATGCCAATTTTTGAACTGAGATCGCGCATTTGTCTTTTGGCAATGTTCACTGAGATTTGATCTTTGAAAGGAATACTGACTCTTAAAGTTTCAACAGATTTTGTCTTAGTATCTGGTGTAGAGGAATAATCACATTTGTCGATAATAAAGTTCACCAAAGAACTAGGGTAACCAAGGCGATGAAACATAGATTTTAGATGCCTACACTCATCGACGAATGCTTGATGCGTAGAGGACAATTCCTTTGCACGATGAACCATTGTTTTGATAAGACACTTCTTG